ATATATATATATTCACTGTTTTAAGCTGAAATCACTGAAGCATCACTTACAAACATTAAGGCTGTTTTTATGTCACCAGCTGTTATTAATGGATCCAGTTAGAAACTCTGCACTACTGAGCTACACTCAAAGAAAAGAAATGTTCTAAAGTTATTTAAAATGTATTTATGTTGTGAAATAAGAGTGGTAATGCGAAGACACGTGTTTTTAGAAATAGTGACACAAACCTTGTGATCTGTGGAGATAAAGTGTTTTTTGTACTTTGAGCCTCTGTAGAAAATTAAATAACAGTAAAAGGAGAATCAAACATTTACCAGAAGAGACATTTGTGTGATGTAATCACATGGTTCTAAGTTGGCTTTCAGGCTGAATAGATTATCTTTTATCACTATTATTTTTGTTTTGACCTGTTTTGACCAGTTATGACCAGTTTTTGGAACAGCCCAGGTCTAATTCTGGAAACTATTCATCAAAAAACAGCCTAAGAAATGTCATCAAGAAAGATATGGCATCAATTTTCATAGTTTTTCTAAAGAAACACATCTATTTATTGTTTTATTTCTTGATGACTTCTGGCTAACTGATGTCATTTTAATACTTTACAGTAAAAAAAATTCAGCTGCAGAAATATCAGCACAGAAGTGAATACCTTTATCGTATTTAACATCGGTCTTTATACACTCTACTTCAAGGTCTTCCTATAATCTAACTGAATACCTCAGAGACATCTGCTCCAGAACTCAGCTGCAATCCTGCTGACAGAGACAAGTCCTCCCAACCCACCTGTTTTAAAATCTCTCTATTGGATTATTGTGTGCTTTACAATTGAATTAAAGTTTATTTTTAAATTTTAAAAGGCTATTTTTGGTTGTAGTTCTACCTACAAATTCTATCAGGCTTGCTTTTCTCTCATAAGCCCACCAGGTCCTCCAGATCTTCTGGAGGTCTCTTGAGTTAACCTGAGACATGATTTTATCTACAGTTCTAAAAGTATAACCTTCTTCAGACCTGAGTATGACTGAGATCTGATTTTACCCAGAGATGAAACTGAAAACAGGTGCACACTACAGCAACAGTGAGCCTTGAAAGGATCGGAAGGAAGATCAAGACAACATGAAGACATTTTAGACCATATCAGAACAAAAAAGGTGAAATAAAGAAAGACCTACAACAAAAATACAGCAACTTGTCCTTACCTGAAACTCCAGAGACAACCAAACAACACCTCAAATCCCTGGCTACTCATGAGGAGGAATACTCAGGAAGCAAAAACCATCAGAACAAACAGTGTGGCAGGGAAATAACACGAGTAGATCCTCAGAGCTGAGACTGAGGTTTACAGGAGACGTTGAGGTGTCACACAATAATCATGCCTCATGGATACAGGATCTAAGATCTGAACACAGTAATGTCCCAGAACAAGAACCAGTGTCCATCAAGACGTCCAAGAATGAAGAACTGGGCCTGACATGATCCACACCTGCTCTCCATGAACACCTGCAGCACAGATACACCAGCTGCTAATGGACTGGTGGTTGACCCAAGACCGGTCATGTCAGGGTCTGGTGCAGTCCAACTTTGTGTAAAAAAATGGTAAATGGTCTGAACATAAACAGTACCTTATCAAGTCCCTTCGGACCCCAACACACATTCACACACTGATGGTGGAAAGCTACTGACAGAGACTGGGCTGCCATGCACCAGCGCCACTGGACCCTCTGACCACCATCAGAAGGCAAGACAAGAGAAGTGTCTTGCCCAAGGACACAACGACTGAGACGGATGGAACTCAACTATTGTGTTTTTAGGCTACTTAACGTGCTAGAAACAACAAAGGTACAAGCAGCTCTGGTTGTGTTTTATATAATGTTATATGTTTTATAGCCCTAACCCTTGTTTCTAGTAATGATTAAGACACTCAGACTGAACAGCAGTGTTTCTGATGTGACTCACTGGAACACAAAATGGGTGAGTGTAGTTCCTTCTGGTAAGAGGTGAATGAAGTTGGTGAGTGCAGGACAGTCCTTAGGAATAAATGGTAATGAAAGAATCTTTGTGACTTATGAACTGAATTTTAGTTTTAGTCTTCACACTTTGTGATCAGTTAGTCATTTACTTTAAACAGGGAGAGTATTGTAGTAATTGCATCCATCCTCAGCAGGACAAACAAGGACTTGTCGAGGTACCAATGAAGCAGTGCTGTCATAAAAGGTCCTGCCTCCAGGGGTGTGACCAGGATGTTTGGGTAAGACTTAAGACTTCAGGTAGTCTTTAGCATAGCCAGCTCAGGGCCCGGACACCTCTGAACAATGAGATGGAGTTTTATTTTTAGAGCAGAAGAATTAATCGTTTCAACTGAAAATTCATTTGGTTTTCTGCGCAATTATTCTGGCAAACTAATTTTTGACAACGCTTTCTTACACCGAGCTGTTGGGTGCTTGTATTTAAACGGATGTGGGTGGTTGCCCACTGAGTTGAAACAACCAGTCTTACTGTAAACAGTGTGGGCCCCCATCAGCAAAATGGAGACA